TTTCCTCTTTATGAGAAGTTTGCAACTGTCTTTAATATTACCCACTATAGTGTCAACTCAATTTCCTTGCCCAACATTCACTGATGGAACAATTCAAAAATCACTAAATGTCATAAAATCACCCGGCCTTCACATTTTTCTGACTGAACAGAACTGATTCAGCTATGGATACTGTTGGTCAGGTTCATTTTCTTGAGTTGTCCCTCTTTCTATTGTTTTTTATGCTTTTATTCATTTCCCTCATAATATATGTCAAGCTTCAAAGGCCATCTCAAAACTGAATGTGAAGAGGGATTATTTCGAAGCCAGTGCTGTTCTGTTTCTGGTCCACGTCCAATAACTGCAGGTGTGTGCTGACTGCTACGCTGGCCTGGTCTTTCCTTTGCCTCTGTTTGGTGTCCTGTGCTTTGATCTTTCTCCACACGGCCTACACTTGATCTTATTGTTTTACTCCAGTGTTTATTATTGCGCCCTCTCATCATGGTCATTTCCCTTTATTATCTACCATGTCCTACAGTATTAATAGTCATTGCTCTTATTATCAAAGCCATGGTTCCAAAGCCCAATGTTTTTAAGCCCTGAAGAACACCTCTCAATAAATGCTGTAGTTTGACGTGGAACCAACAATCTTCAAGAGCAACCTTCAAATCCAGACACCATAAGATGATCATAAGAACAACCTCATGGATGAAAAGCAAAGAGAAATCATATTGATTGCTATATACAGTACAAAAATGAAGGCGATATAATTACTACAAATTCATAGAAACACTTCAGATCCCTTTCCAAGAGGCCAAGAAAGAAATTTTAAAATTGCTGTAGATATGGTAGTAGCATATACTGTTAGTTATCTGCCCAATTGCTATCTATTTCTTTGATAAGAAAACAGTGAAGTTCAAGTACCTCGTGACCATGGAACTGAGGAGAAGCTTTTATGTGAGTCTTAGTTACTCCAAACTAATCATAAAAATTAGACTCTCCTACACATGACTGGATTAGGGAAAAGCATATAAGGTAACACAAGCCAATGAGGGGAAGCCTACTGGAGAGACTCAGGAAGGTTTTCCCCAACCTATAAAGGACAAAGGCATTGCTTTTTCTGCCCTTCAATGGTTTTATGTAGGATTGTGGTGCATGGAGCTGTGACAACCATCTTGTGGCTCTGGCACAGTGGACATTCTAAAAATACCTGGATTTTGATGAGGTTGTTGAGCCACCAAACTAACAATTCTTCTAACTGCAATACCTCTGAACTTCCAGTAATGTGACTTACTGAATTTTATTTTTAAGCCAATTTTCATTGGTTTTATAGTAAAGCTGTTGCTGAATAAAAAATTGTCTAGTAGTTCTTAGTTCTTCTGATGTTCAGTTATATCCAATAAAGGTGTTTAAAAGGTATTTCAACACTTGCTAAAGTTGTTTTTAATCATGTTGACCTAGAGCATAATATAAAATCTTTGAAGGGTTATTTATTGACAGTTATGCAATTTAAACATATTTGTGTTTCCATTTTATCTATGAATAAAATTGTTGACATTTTTGGAGACCAAAAACAAAACAGCAAAATAAGACTCTGTAGGAATAGCAATATTTTCCAAGACAGATTTTTTTAGCAATACGAAAACTGGCTAATAAGGTATCAATCATAAGCTAAGGATATTATGTCAGTGTACAAAGTAATGACAAATTTGAATTCAGACAACATGGATTGAGAATGTATATATTTGAATATATCACCTGGGACTGACTATTGTTAAGGTATTTCTTAATTTTTTGTTGAACCTGGATCTTTTGCTCAAAATATTTGAATATTTTTAGAAGATCAATCCTAAGTGGAAAGCACAATAATTTCCAAAATCATGTTAAAGTTTATTCCACTTTACTAATGCATAATAAACAAGAGGGTGGTTAAGAATATTTAAGTTGTATGTTTATATAAAAACATAAAAATTAGCAGAATATCTAAGTAATGATTCTCAGATTTTCATTACTGCTTGAGAATCTATATCGCCCAATGTAAAACTTTAGGAGTCAAAAATATTAAATGAATGTCATAGGTAACAAATATGAAAAGAGGAGCAGAAATAACCCCAAAATATATTTAGAATTAACCACAAGAAATCTATAAGAAGTAAATTAATGAATGGACTATATAATGAAACAAAGTGAACACTTTTGAACTTTGAAGGTTTAAAAAGAACTTTCATGAAATACCAGTAACTTTTAAAGCAGATATTTGAAACTGAAGATCAAAGAACAGAAAAAATGAAAAGCACATTTTTCACAAATAGAAATATACTCCCTGATGAATCATAATGGATGGAATGATGTGAAACTGAGATGCTGTCTGCCAACTTAAAATATTTGACTTATAGATGTTCACTTTGCTTAAAGCTAATAGTCATACAATATTGATTTTGACCAATATACAAACAGAGGTAATTCTAAAGTGGAGCCCCAATAAGTTCTTATTATAGGGAAAAAAGATTTGCTTTTTTCTTCATTATGAGAATATTTTGCTAGATAAAAACCACGGTGATGTTGGTACAGGACATCCTCTGCTGGACAGAGTCTGCCATTACACTATTACATCAGACATTTAAAGCCCAAAGGTTTAGCTAATCTCTGAATTCTATTTTGGCAGGGGAGAGGGGCCGAGGTTCTTCAAAAATACTTATGCTTAATCCACCCACAGAATAATTAAAACCAGATCTCCAGAGTTGGATTCCGGGCATTTGCAGTTTTTAAACCTCACCAGTTGATGATAAAGGTTTATTGAGTATTGCTATAAAGATTTTTAGCCAGCATAGAAAAAGATCCCTAAATTTCACATGTGAGATACAATCTGAGATTGTGGACACAGTACATGAACTAGGGAGGTCTTATTCTAATTGGATGGAAAGAAAATGAAACTACTGTGTGTTATTATTCAGTTCAGTTTACCTTGGGCTTCTCGTCCAGGATCTGCTGACGTATCTCCTTGTGTTTCTCTACGAGTTTTTCTTGCCGTTTACTTTGTGCCTCTTCTAACTACAAGAAAGTTACAAAGGAAGTCACTATCATCTAAATGTCCAAGTGACTGTTTCCAGAAAAAATTACAAGCTGTTCAGACCTGTGGCAAACATTGCATTATTTCCTGCCCTGGTCAGGAACTGCCCCTGCAGGTGCTGGAGCTGCGAAGTGTTGAGGCTGGGTGACGGGGACTCCAGAATGACGGTGGGTGATCGACAGACTACACGGCTCTTACATTTTTGTTAATATTTGAAAATTTCCATAATAGCATTTTTTTTTAATTTGAAAAAAATATAGTGGACTCTGGAGGTTGTCACCTTTTCTAGCACTGATGCCAACTAATGCTATTTTGGGGCAATCTCCATCCACATCATGTTTCTGGGTTCCTGACTTGGATGTGGTTCTTGACATCTATCTTTCAGTGAGCCTTTTTGGTACAGGTTTGCAACGAAACTTGCAGAAACATTGGTTATGGAGTATCTGCTCTGTGAAGCAGCTCTTCCTGTTGCTGGTGGCAAATTGATGCAGCAAGGCTTGTTTTCCTCCAGAGGCTCACAGTGTGCTTGTCCAACATTCACACACGGTTTGCAAAGGAGATGGGGATTAACGGATAAAATGAAACAGCAGGCACAAAATGGAGTCACTTCTGCTAAGCCCCACACAGACTTAATATTTAACCTAAATGCTATATCAGCCTCTTCCATGAATGAAATTTTAAACTAGTCTGGAATGTCAGCCTTAGGAAGGTCATCTGCCTGAGAAAAACCCAGCCTTCCCCTAAGTGAAGGTGACCTTGCCTGTCATAATCCACTCTTTAACCTCCTTTTCCCACCCTCTCCCTGCCTATGAAACCTTCTACTTCATACAACTCCACAGAGCAACTTTCTGTTTACGAGATGGGATGCTGGCTGGTTCACAAACCCCTCTCTTGAATTAGACCTTTAAATTTACACGGTTGAACTTTTGATCTTTAACAACCAACGTACCCTCTTGATGTACTGCACCACCTCCTGAATGTATGACCGGATCATCTCTGTCTTTTCCCTAAAAGAAAATAAATAAATCACTGTATGAACACATCTGGAATCAAGAAACAGGAGGGTCTTGGATTCCCAAGTGAAAGTTTACAGACTTTCTGAGCATTTTTATTACAGCCGTGAGGCAGGTACGATGTACCAGCTCTGGACAAAGGTCAGGTTCTATAGCCAAGGGCGAACTCTGTTTCCACTACATGCTGGGAAGGCTGCCTGACATTATTAGAAGTGAGTATTTAGCCTTTTCCTGAGGGACACTCTTGACTCAGTCTTTATCTGCAAAGTCCTTTTCTGAACTGCTCTTTGAGTTTTGGGTTGCAAACCTCGCAAAAGGGATCTTTTGAAAGGTTAATTAGAGGGGAAGTTTCACAGAAGGGTCTTTATGGTTGAGAACTTGTTATTCTGTTACAGGATAAAATAACCCCCAGGTAAAAGGTAGGGAGAAGGGCTCTTTCTCCTTACTCTTCCATCTGGCTTTTGTCTTTAGATTTAGCTTCTGTTATCTTCTCCTGCCTCTTTTTATCCATTTTCTTCTTTAATTCCTTCTTTTCTCTGAAGTCAAAATGGAAGTAAAAGGGGAAAAAAAGGCAAATCAAATGGCAGTTTATGTTTAATACATTTATATACACAAGTTCATTGTGATGAGAATGGAGGCTTACTTCTCACAGATTTCTTTGAGCTTCTTTAACTGATTGTTCTGACATTCTTCAGCAACATCTGTCAATTTCTGAATAAGCTGGGGAAAGAAAATGCCAGTTCGCTATTTTACATTATCACAGACAAAGCACCCTGTCCCTTTGCTCCCCCAAACATTATCTGTAGTTAGAAAATCTCTCATAGATATTTAACAATAGTTAGAATTATCTATCACAGGCAATGAGGACATAATTTAAAACCATCATATTATCCTGATCTTAATGAAATTCCTCTTCTTATCTCTTTTTACTTAAACAGGGTTCCTTAGATTACTGTGCTGGGTACAGCAGCTTGACCAGTGCAAAAACAACAGTGAGTACCTAGGTTCCAATTCCCACTTCATGGCTTATCAAAAGTATGCTTTTGGTCAAGGAAACCTACATTTTCTTGGTTGTAAGTTAAATTATTAATGCCTTCATCTTTTGGAGGTACTGTGTAGCTTAAAGTAAAATGAGCATGATGCAAATGTGAGTTACAATTAACTGTGAATTACAATTCTTGGTTTCCAGCTATCATTTATTGTTTAATTGCTTCATGGATGATATGAATTACCCATCTTAGAAACTGATGGCTTGTCCTTGTGTGGGTGACTGCCAAAGAACATCAGAAATTCTCTTCTGTGCTACCACAGAGTTTTTAATATATCACCATGAAAGCAGTTTTTCCATCTATTTTCTCATCAAACCAAGTTTTGAGAGGGCAGCAACTGTGTTTTCCTATCCTCAGTGCTCTGCACAATTCCTAGCATTCAGTAGGTGCTCCAAAAATGCTTGTCAATTATGTGAGGGTCAGTTTGCTTTCCAATCCCTTCTCTTTGCTGATTCCATATAAAGACCATACACAACCTTCTGCCATTGCCTGGGAACAGGAGCAACTGGATTCAGCCCTTCTCGCTGGACACCAAATGGACAGTGTGGGCTTCCTGTGAAAGGCCCCACTGCTGTTCCCCAGAGACGGAGATTCTCAGATACAGCAGGGTGAGTGGGCCAGTTTCATATAAGGTGTAGCCACCCCAGTGACAGGGCAATATAATCATAATGTCAAAAAACTTTCATTGATAGTTTATTAAATGTATTAACATATTCAGTTCTAATAACTGCCCTAGAAAGTTGGTGCTGGTATCTTCCTTTTATACGTGACAACTCTGGGACACCTGGGGCTCCAGTTTCTGGCATGGGGCCACAGAGGCAGTGAGTCACAGAGCTGGGTGCAACCCAGACATTCAGGCCTGTGGCCTTCACCCCTTCCCCATGCTGCCTGATCACCCTACCTGATACCAAACTATCCTCCAAGGCCACTGCAATCAAAACAGCCTGGTACTGGCATAAAAAAAAGGCATATAGATCAATGGAAAAGAACAGAGAGCCCAGAAATAAACCCATGCCTAAGCATCAATTAATATTTGACAGAGGAGGCAAAAGCATACAATGGGGTAAAGACAGTCTTCAGTAAATGGTGCTGGGGAAACTGGACTGGTATATGCAAAAAAATAAAATTAGACCACCAACTTACACCACACAGGAGAATGAACACAAAATGGATAAAAGACTTAAATGTAAGTTGTGAAACCATAAAGATCCTAGAAGAAAACATAGGCAGTAAAATTCAGATATCTTGCATAGCAGTATGTTTGCTGATACATCTCCTGAGCCAAGGGAAACAAAGGAAAAAAATAAACAATTGGGACTCCATCAAATTAAAAAAAGTTCTGCACAGCTTCTCATTCTGATTTTAGAAGCTGTTGTAAAAGAACACTTCTTAGCCAAGAGAATAAAATAAGTTGAGGGAGAAATTTTCCTACAGGACTGCAATTTAAAAACACCACAGTAAGCTAACACAAACATGAGATTTGATGCATTCGTCTGTGAGGTGGGTTAAATCTGGGCAAACACGCACTGGGGTTTGGGCCAGCAGAAAATCTCTGTGATTATTCAAAAGGCATTGACTGATCCTGACTGTCACCATTTTAAACATCATGAAATATTTCAGGGTTGTAGTGCCATTTATCAAGTTGTCTAGCCATTAAGTTTGGTGTGCAAAGACTCAGGAAATTTCCTTGGGAATTCCTGCAACACTGCCATTCTAGCTGAGGATACACACTCAGCACCTTTCCTGCCCCAGGGCCTTTCCCCTCTCCCATCCTCCCCAAGGTGTTATAGGGTGTTACCCAGGGATCCCCAACTGTGCTTGCAACGGTGGGCAATTCTCAAAAATTCAGATCCCAGGGCCTGTTCCTAGGTGTATTTACTCCAAATGTCTAGGGGAAGGGCCTGGGAATCAGTATCCAAATCTTCCCAGATGATTTGGACTGTTTGCCAGAGTAGGGGACTTCCAATGGGCTTGTCCTCATTCTACAGACTGTTTGTTGCTCTATCTTCCAGAAATGCTTTCAAATTCAGTGGTATTCACACTTTTGTTTTCATGATGCCACCTCTATCATTCATGGAACTCCAGAGTATTTTCTTGATTCTGTTGGCACCCGCTCACATTTACTGCATTCCTTCCACCTCCTGCCCTCATCTCAACAACACTGGGATCCAGTCAACAAAGCCGGAGCTTGAGACCTCATAGCCCTCTGACCACTCAGTTCTGCGTCCTATTCCAGTTCAGCTTTAGCCCCATGCAATGGCTCCCTTGGGCTCCACAGATGCTCCCTATCTCCAGTGCCCCCTGGCCTTCCTCTGTGCCCCACCCTCAGACCATTGCACCTGCTCTTTACTCTTCTCAGAACCAGTTCCCTGTTCCCTTGCTCCCAGAACACACATCTTTGTCTACACTATTCAGTGTAGCCACAACCCAACAAATATTTATCAAGCACCTACTAATCCCAGGCATCATCCTAGAAACTCTGAGGTAATGTCCAGGCTTTCTAGGTCTTGTTACTCAAAGTGTGGCCGTGGACCAGCAGCATTGGCATTGCCAGAGATCTCATTAGAAATGCAATTTCTCAGGCCCCAACCCAGCCCAACTGGAAGTCAAAATCCTGTTTTAGAAATCAAAAATAAGATTTCCAAAGCTAAAATGGTATTTTAACAAGATTCCTAGGAGATACTTGTGCATGTAATGATTTGAGAAGCACTGGATTATTGAGAAAGATGGAAACAATTTAGAAGAAGCCCTCTGCTATAGACCAAATGTCTGCATCCCCCACCCTTAAGTTCCTATATTGAAATCCTACCCCTCAATGTGGTGGTGTTGGGAGATGGGGCCTTTGAGAGTTCATTGGTCACAGAAGTGGAGCCCTCATGAATGGGATCTGTGCCCTTACAAAAGAGGCCCTACAGAGCTCCTAACCCATCAGCCATGTGAGGACACAGAGAGAAGATACCCATCTATGAACCAGGAAGTGGGCTCTCATAAGACACTAAATTTGCAGGTGCCTTAATCTTGGGCATTCAGCATTCGGAACTGTGAGAAATAATCATTTGTTGTTTAAGCCACTCAGTCTATGGTGATTGTACAGCAGCCCAAACTAAGACACCCTTCTCAAGTTCTCCCTTCTCTGGCTCAAAAGATCTTTGGAACTTGATCTGCATTTTCTTCATTACCCCAAACTCAGCTTCCTCATGTGTGACACGGGGATGACATTTCCCTCCAGGAGTGGCTCTGAAAGCTGAGAGAAAACATCTTAATAGACCACATCACAGTTTCTCAACTTGGTTTCCTTACCCTTCCACCAAAGAGAAAGGCTCTTGCCTGTGTTTTCATCCTGTCTTCTCCCACCTACGGCAGGACCTAAGCCACCATTTCACTTCCTCCTATCACACTTCCTTCTGCACCAGACACACTCCCTTTCCATAAAGACACATCTCTTTTCCTTATCCTGAGAACCCTGAACTTTTTTTGCTCCATCTTTGACCTTCCTTTCACTTCTGTCCTTAAAATGGAAGACCAATTGCTGCTTCCACAGCTGCAATGCTCCACCCCCTACCCTCCAACCCCACCATCTCACTTCCACCCTGGCCTCTGGAACTCACCTCATTTTAAGATTATAAAAACCTTGTGTGTTATTAAACTTAGTGGCCATTTCTCAGGACTTAACTTTTATTATTCCAGACATGCAAAACTTTTCTTAGTTCATGGCACTCTTAGGATCTCATTAATTTTTTCACGGCACCCTTGGGCTAAAAGAAATAATTAGGTGCAAACAACTTAATAGTAATACTTTGCACAGTGTCCAACAGATGTTGCTCTGTTCTCCTTAAAAAATGTAAACTGCCCCACAATTCTGCTGTGAGTTCAACACACTGCCTCAGGGTACCTTTGCACACAGGTCAGGAGTCATGACTTCGTCCTCGCAAAAGCATGCCAGTTGCCAGCCACTCTCATACCAAGCTCTCTTTCCTTAATTTGTAGGATCTCCAGCAGTTACCATGGCCACTCCCTCTCTGACTCCTTTAGGGGTTTCAATTCATGTTGGCACCATCAAATGCCTTTGATCGAGTCTAGCTGAAGATGGCTTGCTAGTATGTCAACATTTTTACAAGCAGGTTTAGGACTTGCCTCTCACAGAAGACAAGTAATTGTCTTTTCCCACAAAGCTCCATCATTCACTTCGAAAGTGGACATTGCCTGTGATTTCCCTCCTGCCTCCTGGGCACTTTATCCATCTAATGAGTCATGAAGACTTTGTCTTTTCTTCTGTCACCTTGTATCCCATGGCTTTGAGTTACCAGCCCTCTGGTATGGGTTTTCATTACCTGTGGGTTGGACTTGGCGAGTATTCCCTGCTGTCCTCAGTCAGTCTCTCCTTTGTCCTTCCATTCCATCCCAAATATTCTTCCCTTTGGTATGTACCAAATCATTAACTAGCTCTCTGTTTGCAAATATGTTATGTGCCAGCATTACATTTCCTTTCCTTATCAGCATTCAGCATACCCAATAAACTAGGCAGTATTTTGCTCTCAGAACTTTCCAGGCATATACCTGTTTCTATACTTTTTCTCATGCTATTCTTCCACTTGATGACATTTCCATTTGAATGGGAGGCAGCACAGATATAGAACATTCCCATGATTAACATTCTATTGGACTGTGCTGCTGTAACTGCTTCTGCTATAAAAGTGGGTACCAGCCAAGATTTCCCCTGGTCCACACCCTTCTCCTTTCTAAGTCAGCCTTTGGTAATTTTCCCCTTTGGTTGCCCAGGTAACTGCAAGCCTTGGCACCTTGACTGGATTTTTCTATATCACTAATAGGTATTTATACTTGTGTATGCATGCTTTATTATTGCTCCCCAAAAGGACACTACTCCTGCAATCTCTTTTTCCTAACAATTTTTGGAATCCCAGGTTCTACATAAAATAAACACTCAAAAATATTACCAATGAAATCATTTAACTCTTAAAACCACACTGCCCTTGTCCTTGGTGATAGCTATGGAAAGTCATGTCCAAGCCATGTGCTATCATATTGGAAATACTTTCAAAACTATATAATTTTCATATTTAACAAGCTCAGTTTTATTCTTTCAAGAACAAATGCCTTATTTTGAAATCCAGGTGTATTTTTTAATGTAGTTTTTGCATTCAACTGACAAAAATAGTGCTTCCCTAAAATCTTAAGGAATATGAGTTTTAAAAAGAACACCTCTGTGTTTAACAAGACACATCTGGAAAGGCTCTTCCACTGTGCTCAGTTCCTCTTGGCCTCCTCTACTCTCTTACAACAGACCCATCCCTGTAACATTTGGCCCTTTCCAGACATTTTCAAAAGACAATTACTCTTACTGTAACTCTGCTCTTACAGCATTTACGGTTTTCATTTAAACTTCTTCTATTTAAGGTCTAGGAGACAGAATAATTAAGATCATGACTGCTTAATAATATGCCACTATAGTCAAACTCACATTAAATTATCAATAGGATTATATATGTACTTGAACAATGATTAAAATAAAAAATAAAAAAGGATTATATATGTACATCAATAATTTATCTCTTGATTACCCTAAAAAGAGCATTTAGGGTTCACCTAC